TTAATATTCTTCTCTAGCACAACAGCTCAAAGGCATAAATTCTCTCTCCTCCTATCATCCCTAGTCATTGTTCAGCTCTCGGATGCATAGCTAATAATTGCAAAGATGATGGCCTGTATCAGGTGTGCCTTAGTCTCCAGACTGACATCATTACTCTTCAGTATTTTGGAGAAGTCTCTGACAGCAGACTTCCCCAGTGAAAGTTTTCATTTAATTTTCTGGCTACTGGTATCAAGAGTGTTGATGGTAGAGCCAAGCAAAGGAAAGGTGTTGACAATCTCAATCTCTTCAACATTAATTATGATGATGCCAGTTGGCTCAGTGATGAGAATCTTTATTTTCTTGATGTTGAACTTCAATGCATATTGAAGGCTGCAGTCTTTGACCTTCTGCAGCAAGTCCTCCTCAGTTTCAGCATGCAGGGTTGTGTCATCTGCATAACACAGATTGTTGATGAGTCTACTTCCAATCCTGATGCCGCACTTCTCATAGAGCCCAGCCTCACGAATAATCTTTTCTGCATATATATTGAAAAGATATGGAGAAAGAACAGAGCCTTGGCACACACCGTTCCCAATTTTGAACCATGAAGTATTTCCCTGCTGTTCTGGTGAATGCCTCCTGGTCCAAGTATAGGTTTCACATAAGCACAATCAAGTGTTCTGGGATTCCCATTCTTCTCAGAATCAACCACCATTTATCGTGATCTACACAGTTAAATATCTTAGCATTTGAATGAAACACAGCCATTCTTCTGGTAGGTACTCTCTGTTTTCAGCCAAGATCCACCTGACATTAGCTATAATATCTCTAGTGCCATAGCTGCTTCTTTTATTTGATCCTTATTGTAATTGTGGTGGCAGCATTCCCATTCTTGTATATTGTTCTTATGTACCATTGAGTACCTTCCAGAATATTTTCAAAGGTTGTAAATGGTACTGGATGAAATTGCCCATCTTTCTTCCATGGAGCAGCTGGTTGAATCAAACTGTGTCCTTTTAAGTTAGCAGCATAACTCCTTACCCTTGGGCCACTAGGGCTCCCTTATCTGTATATAAAAGAGGAGACAGGTGCTCAAGAATTTATGCTACTCTCTCTAGGTTAAGCATCAGGTGATGAATGTAGAAGATGAGGGCAATTTTACCTACCTACAAAGTCTGTGGAATTCACCATTCTAAAATGTGCTCCCCAGAATTTATGAAATGAGGAAAGTATACATCACAGGGTTTTTGAAAAGGTTACATGAGGTAATGTATTTCTTGTAGTATTCACAATATATTATGTAAATGTTAGTTACTGTTAACAGGGCAGGAAAGTAGGCTCATGCTTTTGTCTTTTCAAGTGATGAGAATTCAGAGGATTAGAAAAACACCTTGAAATTGAGTTGCTTAACTCTAGGTCAATTATTTAGCTCATGATTCTGTGAGTCAGTGCATTTGGGCTTGCCTCTGTTAAGACAGATCTTCTAGATAGATGAATAAGGGCATGGCATTTCTATTTTGGAGATGGACTGGTGATGAGAAAGAAGGAAGTTTTGAGCTTTGGGGGGACAATTTATTTCTTTATGGTATAAACTTTTAGTATGTCCTTGGGCTTGGTTCCTGATTTTCCTCCCCATTTCACTAAACTTTGTTTATGAGTAGGCACTTGGTATTTATGCCTCTGCTCATTATGCCAATAAGCGAAGGCTTGTTCTCATAGAACCAGGATAGAAGTCCAAGAATTAGACAAAGAAACATGCAATATGTCTTAAGTTGAGACTTGGAACTGGTACACCAGTTACACTCCCTTCTACTGAAGGAAAAAAAAGTCACAAAGCTAGCACAGATTCAAGCAGGAGAGGCAGAGACAGATGGGAGAAAGTGCGAAGTTGCACTGTAAAGGGGCATGCCCTTTTGATGGGATGGGAAACTGTGGCTATCAATACCATTTACCACAGGAGTGGCATCCACTTTTTAAACAACATGCCTCTGGAAATTCTATGAATTTTGAGAAAGGATAGCTATTGAAAGGCTGTAGGTCTTTGGTTCCTAGGGTTGCTATAAGTTGTGCTCATCTCTACGGCAATCAACAACAAAACAACAATATAATTTATCAGAAAAGAATGTTGTTTATAAATGTCTTTTGCTTACAGAGGCTAAGTAATCTTTTAAAAAGCCCTGATACTGAATTATAAAAGAGCAATTTGTTCAAATGTTAAACTTTTACAATTGTGTCATTCTGACAGTAAAGTGTGGCTTCATGTGCCCGATGCACATTTTTGGTGGTAATGTGCTGCTTAGTTTCTGTAGCCTTCTGTCAGGCTGAGTCAAGGAGGCAGTATTTCAGCTTCATCACTGCAAGGGGTAATGTCCATAAGGTCTTTTAAATTCATGCTCCATACAGACCAACAAAGGAAACCACAACTGTTTCTTCCCACTCAGTTTTCTATTGCCATCTTTCAAAGCTTTGCTTTCCTATTTCCTTTTATCTGTCTTTTGCAACAGGATCAGTGAAGTGAGTTGGCTGGAGGGGTTTTCTGTTCTCTCCTGTCTTACATAATGAAGCCTAGATATTTGTCTTAGTATCTTTCCCACTTATATTGACCAAAAAGTGTTGTTTCATTCATGTCTTTGTATATCACAGCTTCTCCTTTCATCTCCCCAGTCTTATTGTCAAATGTATCTAACACGTTCTCCAATGTCACATCTGATACTTAAGAAATCACAACAAAGTTCTTAGTTCTTCTAAAGGATGATACTCCTATTAATGCAATTATTTCTAGTTAATTTATATAATCTTAGACCCAGTAGATACATTCTGTATTTTTTTTCCTTTTTTCTAGGAGTCCTTTGCCTCACTTCTCACCATTCTTCTTGAGTTTCTTTAGCCTCTTCATGATACAAATAGTAAACCTTTTTCTTTTACTACTGTTTCTTGCCATCTTTGTGGGTTATATTTTTAGAGTTTTCTAATTAGAACAAAATGTTTCCATCATTTAAATTAAAAGGGATAATTTATGTAAGGTGTCTTGGAAATAGTAAGATTTTTAGCAAATGTTATTATAAAATGCTTCTGCTACAACTTTACCGTTGTCATTAATCTATTTTAAGTAAACTTCATGCCTTTACATTTTTAGCATCAAGCACTCTAAGGAGCCACTTACACAACATAAGAATATGGATTAGAATTTTAATACACTTCTACTTTCTAGTTTTATGGCATTCAAAATGTATTATCACTATTGTTTTTAGCGTGGTAGCAATTGATAGAGAGCTTGTCTTGCCCACTCGAAGGCAAGTGGTTTGAATTGGCCAATTGCTGATGGGTGAAAGAGAGGCAGTCTCCTCTGGTAGGATTTACTGCTTCTGCAAATTTCTGAGTCAGTCAGTTATGAGCCAGTTAAAAACCTATAGTACATAAAAAAATAACTGATAACTGCACTTTCTCAGTAGTTAAACTTTACATTGTTGAGGATGTTTGTTGATCAAATTTATATTTTCACATAGCTGCTTGCATACAGTTCTTACTTAAGTAGTAATTACATATATATTGTCTTTAAAATGTATAAATCACACTTCACTGCCATTGTGTCTATTGTGACTCCCAAGGACCATCCATTAGATTTATAAGACTGTAAATCTTCATTGGAGCAGACTGTTCATCTTTTTCTCAAGGATTTGCTGGAGGATTTGAACCCTTGATCTTTTAGTTAACAACTCAACATATGATTATAAATTATTCTCTTATTTCCCTCTTAGATTTTTAGTGACTTTCTAAAGATTTTTCTCTTCATTTTACTTCATGATTTAATATGTCATAACAGATAGGCATATTGTTTATAGTACGCTGTACTTTGCATCCGTCTATATTGCTACATTTTTATTAGTAACTCACTATTCTTACTCTTTCCAAATTCTTTTTCTCAAGATAGACCTCCTAAATCTGGTGCTTCCCCAGTTGTGTGGACTTCAATCTTAATCTCTACATATGAAATAACAACAGAAATCTTACTTTCTCTTTTCCTCAAGAAACACACACTTGGACACAGACACACAAACTATTTGGTGATGAGGACCAGTAAAAACATAAGGAAGCGGAAAATAGTTTCATTAGTAAATTGCTTTGGTGTACTTGGTTGTCTGTAACTTATCTTTTAGCAGCTAACAAAAAATACCAAAACAAACCCCCAAAACAAAAAAAAAAATCCCTTGAGCTTTTATTGCGAGATGATGATATTCCTAGAAAAAAAACTTTCAAACGTTTTTAGCTTTATATAATCATGGTGTGGCTAGTGGCTGGACATTTGGCTGAAAAGAGGACTCCAGAATTATAAGCAAGACAGGTGAAAAAAGACTCCCTTGTCACCTCCTGGTAGACCTCTCTCTTCCTTTGGTTGTCATTAAGGGGGGGCGGGGGGAAGGCAATTGATCTCACATGCTCTCCCTCAAATGTTGAGAGGGATGAGGAGAGAGAGATGTAGGGAAAGTGCAGTGTAAATAAAGCCGAGGGACCTCCAGAAAGGGTGGGGACAGTGCTTCGTGGAAGAAAATGCAGGAACCTGGTTGGTACCACTTAGCTTCCTCAGACCCACCCACCCACTCTTGCCAGAGCTCAGCGCTCTGGATGGCGGTGAGAAGCTGCTGATGGCTAGCGGTGCTTTTTTGGAGAGAGCCAAAATCTGCTGGGCAAAACCAGGGCAGAGCGACTACCCCATGAGCGCGTGAGCTCCCCTGACCTGTGCTCGGCCTCGGCGCCCCGTCACAGCCCGCTGGTCTCTGGCTCCCGGGGGTCTGGACCCGCCCCATCTCCATGGTTCGCCCAGTCCTGCTCGATGGTGACTCGGGGCGCGCAGCCCTGCGCCTGGGGAGCCGGCCGCTCGCAGAATGAAGGCAGGGAGCGCGGCGGGGGCCGTCTCCCCTACCCCAGCGCCCAGGCTAGCGGCCCAACCACCTGAATCTGGAAATCCACACCAACAAGTAGTTGCTTATCAGAGGAGGGCGGCCCGGCCGGGCGGCGGGACTGAGTTCGGCTGCTCGGAGCGTGTCGTCCGCTTGGAACCTCAAGCAGAGCCACTTTATTCTCAGGCTCGTTAAGGTATCTGGGGATGGGGTAGGGGGGCAGGTTAGAGAAGGGTGTCTCCCAGGGAAGGGCGTGCTGACCCGCAGTCAGGCGTCTCCTTTCTCCCCTCCGCGCTGATCTGCCCTGGGAATGTGGACACGAAGCCCTGGGGAGGGGAGGCTGGCAGACTGGGGACAGGGATGCTGTCAACCAGGACTCAGCTCCGCGGTCCAGGGGGTGTGCCTTCTGGTCGCCGGGCCTCGCCCCTCCTCGAAAGCAAATCCCCCACCAGCCACCCCCTGAGGCGCTTGCTTTTCCTTTTATTCTGGGGGTGGCGGGGTGGGCTGGGTGAATGATTTGATTGATCTGTTCTCAAAGATAGATCCTAAATCGGAGAGGGGAGCAGAACAGGAACCACAACAATAATAATGTGAAAAGGAAATTGGATCAGGAAATTAGTCAGAGAATCTCCTCCGTGAAAGGCAGCTGCATTTTTTTTCTGCCTTCACTTCAGCCTTCAGTCTTGCTGCGGGGTTGGTGGGGGAGAGAGTAGAGGTGAACCCGAACAGGTCGTGCAAAGTGCACTCCCCGAGAGCTCAGGCCGTCTAGAGTGGGCCGAGGGTATGCAGACCACGGAGTGGGTGTCCTCCGGTTCCTGGGGCGTCCACCCAGCACAGCCCCATTGCCTTTGCAGCTAAGACAACTCCCAGTCTGGGGAGTAAGAGAGAAGGGGGCGCGGGGAGTGGAAAAGAAGAGGTACAGGAAGGGGGTAGTATTAGCTGGTAAAGGACAGGGAGAGCTTTGGAGAAGAGGTGGTCTGGAGAGTGGGAGAGACACTGAGGAGAAAAGGGGACCTGGAAAGGAATACAGGGGACTTGTGCGGGGAGAGAGAGGTGATTTGGGGAGGACAGAGAGGGACTAGAGCAAGGGGAGTAAAAGAGTTTGAGGAGAAGAGGGAGGGAGCGAAAGGGTTAGGGGCTGGAGCAGATGCGCCAATGGGAGGCTGAAGGTTGAAAGATGAAGTTGAGGAACAGCTAGCAAGAAGAGGAAGGTGCTAGGCGAAGTAAAAAAGAGTCTAGGAAGGTCAAGAAAGACTTGGACTGATGCTTAGTTCTGTGGAAGGCCGGGGAAGGTGAGATGCGCGAGGCGGGGACAGGGCTGGCCGGTGGTCTTCTCCCGGGAGGGGTCCTCTGGCCTCCTCTGCCTGTCAGGGCTCTCAGGCTGCGGGTGGGGGCTTGGGGGCGGCTCTGCCCGCCGGCATCTTTAACTTGGCGTTGTGTTCGCCTTTCCCCTCCCCTAGTCATGTCTGAGCCACAGAGATGGGCAAGATCGAGAGCAACGAGAGGGTGATCCTCAACGTCGGGGGCACCCGGCACGAGACCTACCGCAGCACCCTCAAGACCCTGCCTGGGACGCGCCTGGCGCTGCTCGCCGCCTCGGATTCCCATGGGGACTGCTTGACGGCGGCAGGGGACCCGCCCCAGCCCGCGCCCCCTCCGCTGTCGCCGCAGCCGCGGGCGCCCCCGCTAACCCCGGGCCCCGGAGGCTGCTCGGGCGGCGGCGCGGGCAACTGCAGCCCCCGCGGCGAGCGGCCGGCTGGCGGCCGCGAGTTCTTCTTCGACCGGCACCCGGGCGTCTTCGCCTATGTGCTCAACTACTACCGCACCGGCAAGCTGCACTGCCCGGCCGACGTGTGCGGGCCGCTCTTCGAGGAGGAGCTGGCCTTCTGGGGCATCGACGAGACCGACGTGGAGCCCTGCTGCTGGATGACCTACCGGCAGCACCGCGACGCCGAGGAGGCGCTGGACATCTTTGAGACCCCCGACCTCATCGGGGGCGGCGAGCCGGGCGACGAGGAGGAGCTGGCGGCCAAGAGGCTGGGCATCGAGGACGCAGCCGGCCTGGGGGGCCCCGACGGCAAGGCTGGCCGCTGGAGGAGGCTGCAGCCTCGCATGTGGGCTCTCTTCGAGGACCCTTACTCGTCCAGAGCTGCCAGGGTAAGACCGGAACGGACCCCTCCAAGTTCGCCCAACTTGCTGTCCAGCTTCACTTAGCGGGTTGGTGGGAGGTAGGGGGTGAAGTGAGGGAGAGGCCTCGGGGTGAGCTTAGAGGCTCACCTGCTGGTGGGTAAATCTGGGGACCTTGGCTCCCTATACGCCCTATCCCTCAAACTGCGTTTTATTCCAGCAAATGTGACCCAAAGGGCAAACACTAGAGCCAACTTTTCTTTTACAGTCTGTATGGGATCTTGTCCTACAATCACTATCACATTTCCTCCTGAGTTTTGTCCTCCACTCGCTCTTTTTTGTCCCAACTTTTCCTTTAGCTTAGATGTCACCTTGGGTCTCCTGGTCATCCGACTTGACATTTTCAGAGAGGCCTGACACTCCTTCACATCTGACTCACCCAATGCAGTGGCTTCAATTAGGGATCTATTCTGAGGACAAGGAAGGGGAAATTATGTGCACGTGACTCTGTGTGTGTGTGTGTGTGTGTGTGTGTGTGTGTGAGAGAGAGAGAGAGAGAGAGAGAGAGAGAGAGAGAGAGATTGAGAACGCGCTGGTGGCAGAGAGTTCTTTTTTTAATAAAATTTTTCAATTTTAATTGTGATTTTAAAGCAAGTTTACAGAGAAGTTAGATTTTCATTCATTCATTGTTGCATATTTTATTCCCCTCTCTTGAAAGGTCACTTTTTAAATTTCTTTTTATTATACTAGTTTCTTTACAAAATTCGAATATGTTGTTTCTCACACCAGCTCCTTCCCATCTTCCCTCC